ACAGAGGGCTTCTAGAGTCCCAGACAGTTCCTCTTAAAAGGGCTCATACATAGACTTACTTGGATTCACTCCTTCCAAGATCCAGTGCTGGGGCAGCAGCTTGAAAGGCACTAGGGACATATGGAAAGAAACTGAACTGGCTAGCATCGGGGTGAGAACTGAAGGGCAGCTTCTGTTAGATAGAAGTACTGGCAGAAGCCCTTGTTCCTTTACTGAGAGTCCTTCTGTTGTCCACAGAGCCACACAAGTAGGCACCATATCTGAATTTCCATCAACCAGGCTCATGCTACTCTCCTCACCATGGTTGTTTCCTGAGACCCTGCCTAACCCAACCTAATCCAGTCCTAAAGGCTCTTCTAAACTGTTTCCAGTAGCTTTTCCACATGAATGGTCTGTCTTGGCTCATGCTTCAAAATTCCCTAAAATCTCTCAAACAAGCAGCCTCTGGCCTCACAATAGATGGCCCTAGGGCCAGCATTAGTACCAGTGAGCCTTGATTCACACAGTGTGGCCTTGCCTGGGTACCTGCAAGCTTCCATCTGCTGGTTGCTTTGTAGCTCATGAGAAGTGGCTCCAGGGAGAACATAAGTGACAGCTGACCTTGGCCTGCAAAATGGATGCCCCAGAGCCAGTGCACCCAGTGGACAGCTTCAGATCACACTGAAGCACCACCCAATTACCTCTAGAAGCAACACTCAAGGGGTGGACTCAGTGAGCACCAGACCTCTGTCCTGCTCTACAGGGTGGGCCCTTGCACTGCTAATCCTCCACAGTGGTCAGAGGTCAGTAGTCAGTGGTCACAGCCAGTCCTTGCAGCTAATCAGCCTTAGAGTAAATCCCTCCCATTGATGTGCCAACAGCAATCAAGGCTCAGCTATGACAGGAAGGTGTACACAACCCACATGGCGGGGGTGGTGGAGTACTCCTGGAACGCCTAGCTTGAGTGATCACGAAGGCTGTGTCATTGGCCCTTCAGAACATTTACAATATTATGCCACTCTACCAAGCCCAGGAGATGTAGCAGCTCTACCAAATAAACACAGAGAGGCAGCCAAAATGAGGAGACAAAGAAACATGTCCCAAATAAAAATAACAGAACAAAACTCCAGAAAAGAACAAAACAAAACAGATAAGCAATGTACTAGATGCAAATTTCAAAACACTGGTTATAAGGATGCCCAATGAATTTAGTGAAAACTTCAACAAGATAAAAAAGGATGTGGAAACCATAAAAAAGAACCAGTTAGAAATGTAGAATATACTAGCTGTAATGAAGAATAATTTACAGGGAATCAATAATACAGTAGATGAAATTGAGAGTCAAAGCAGCAATCTGAAAAATAAGGAAGCAAAAAATATCTAATCAGAGCAAAAAAAAAGAAGAATCCCTGAAAAATGAAGATAATGTAAAGGAGCCTTGGGGAAAACTTTAAGCATACCAATATTTGCATCATTAAAGGGTCAGAATGAGAGAGCAGAGAGCAAGAAATTGAAAACCTGCCCTGACCAGTGTGGCTCAGATGGTTGGGCATCATCCCACAACATAAATGGTCACCAGTTCCATTCCCATTCAGGGCACATGCCGGGATTTCAGGTTTGGTTCCAAGTTGGGGTGTATATGAGAAGCAAGCAATTGAGTTTCTCTCCCTTTCTTTCATCCCCCCTTGCCCTCTCTAAAAATAAATAAATAAAATCTTTTAAAAAAGAAATTAAAAACCTATTTGATAAAATTACAGAAAACTTCCCTAACCTGGTGAAGGAAATAGTCATCTAAGTCCAGAAAGCACAGAGTCCCAAGAGAGATAAACCCAAAGAGGCCCACACCAAGACACATCATAATTAAAATACAAAAAGTTAATGAGAAAATCTTAACAGGAGCAAGAGAAAAGCAGTTATCTACAAAGAAGTTCCCATAAGACTGTCAGCTGATTTTTCAACAGACCTTTGCAGGCAAAAGAGATTGACATGAAATTTTCAAAGCAATAAAAAGGAGTGACCTACAACCAAGATTATTCTACCTGGCAAAACTATCATTTAGAATTGAAGGACACGTGAAGAGCTTCCCAGATAAGAAAAAGGTAAAGGAGTTCGTTACCACCATAGTATTACATGAAATGTTAAAGGGTCTCCTTTAGAAGAAAGGGAAAAAAAGATTAAAAAATACGAACAATAAAATGGCATTAAATGCATATCTATCAACAATTAAATATGAAAAAACAGAATAAGCAAACAAGCAGTACAGAAACAGTCTCATAGATACAGAAAACATTTTGACAGTTGCCAGATGGAAAGGGGCTTATGGAGATGAGTGAAAAAGGTGAAGGGATTAGGAAGCACAAGTTGGCAGTAACAGAACAGTCATGGGGTTATAAAGCACAGGAGAGGGAATACAGTCAATAATATTCTAATAGCTATGTATTGTGTCAGATGGGTACAAGATTTATCAGGAAGACAGTGAGTTATATGTCTAATCACTAGGCTGTACACCTGAAACTAATATAATGTATGTCAACTATAATTGAAAAATAAAAAATGACTTAAATTTTAAAAAAAAGGTAAACAATTATATAGCTCTTACTTTGGTTAGACACTGTTCTAAGTGCTTTAGATAAAAACAACAATAAAACCAAATCTTAAATAGTGGTTATTTTTGTGCATGTATAAGAACTTCACAAATATTAACTTTCAAATAATAACTCACTTAATCCTATGAGTTAGATGCTATTATTATAATTTATATTTTACAGAGAAATACAGTAAGCACAAAGAAATCAAGAAATTCACCCAAAGTCACACAGCTTTTAGAAATTTTATTTGAATTCAGGTAATTTGTCTCCAAGTTTCATGATCTTGACCAGTGTGTTAGACTGCCAAGATTATAATTTTTTAAAAGAAGAGTAATACCTTATATACCATTCTAGAATCCAACTACTTTTGTATTCTTATATTATTAGAATATCACTTTAATTAACTCTCTCCTTTACATTCCCACATTTCTTTTTAGGGGAACTATTTCAGTAAAGTCTACCAATGAAGCTGTTTCAGTTCCTACAGATCTCCAGTGGCCTCAACATCACAATTTGTATGACTGAAGAGGAGACTCAGTGAATTCCTCATTGTCAACAGTTCCTTCTAGGAAAGTTACCTTTCTGGTAGGCCCCATTTCTCTCTCCTCCAAATCATAGAGTCATCACCACAATCTGCCTAAGACACCGTGGGCATTATTCCTATTATACCCCACATCTCTGTTAACCTTACTCGCTAGAAGCCTAAGGCACCCAGGTCATTCCTAATCATAACCATCCTAATTGGCCTCAGAAAGCCCCTTGATCTGATATACTACCCACTCCCCAATTCTTTTATATCCTTCCATTGTGACCCCTGGAATTCTTAGTCCATTTGCAGAAAAATCAGCTACATCTTCAAGTTCTTCAGTGAACTCTTCTTTCACCCTTTTTCCCAGTTATAACTGAAATCCTCAAATATTATGCTTTCTTACCCTCAAACCATTAAGTCTGGAGGTGAGGCACTTTTCCTGTTCTCCATTACTACTGTCAAACTATTATCCTCTTCTTTCCCTAAACTACTTAGTTTCTTTGAAGTTCATGCCACCAAGCTACTATATAAGCTTTACCCTTCCTTGCTGTTATCAGTTGACTTCTAGATCTCCTTACTCCTATATTATAGCATCTAATTTATTGTGTCTCTATTGCTACCCCTCTTCTATTTCTTTGGGATTTCAACATCCACACAATGGTACTTCTCATATCTTGACCTCTTAGTTCTTTAAAGTATTCTCTCATCCATCTTCCCCACCCATCCACAGATTATAACTATACCTCATTCATAATCTGAGATTCAAACTCTTTTCAGTTTCAGCTCATTCCTCCTAGTATTATGACTACAAGAGCTGTTCAGTCACATTGACTCTTCTACATTTTCACACTCTCTTGTCTTATCATATATTCAATTCACTCCTTACCTGGCTTAGATTCCTTCACATTCATCCTCACTTCTATTATAGCACTCTCGCTGTCCTAGTTCCCCGAAAAAATCCTAACCAGCTGCTTTACCATACTCTAGTAGCTGAAATGCCTCAATAAATACCTATTCTGTGGTCTCATTTTAAATTCAAAACTATTTGTGTCAAGTGGACGACTGGCCATTAGAATTCACCAAGTTTCACAGGTATCAATTTCATTCCTTCTCCTTTGTCCTCAAACTTCCCACATCTTCCCCATTCCTCTTTTAGTTATGCTAAGCTAATCTCAGCTACTTATGTAACTAAGATAGTAGAAAAATCAGAGAGTATGGTAAACCACACCCCATCTACCAGTGTTCCTGCACCTGTACCTACAACTAATCTATTCTTTTCTTGCAATGAATAAAGTGTCCTTGTTCCTATCTAAGGCAAATCCTCCACTTTTGTACTCCTTTGTGTTCTACTCAAGGACATTACTACTTCAAATGTTACAGCAACAGAATTTCTTTAACTTAGTAAAAAATATTATTCTGAACTCATCATAAATTTAACAATAATAATCACCCTTGCTTTACCCTATAACCTCCTTAAGCTATATTTTGGTCTTCATAGCCAAGATGCTTACTGTCTACTTCCTTTCCTATTATTCTTATTAAACCCACTATAATTAATCATTCACCACTCAACCTTTAAAGCGCTATATTGTACACCTGAAACTAATATAATATTGTATGTCAACTATAATTTAAAATAAATGTAAAAGAGATAGGCAAAGTTATATTGCAATAATAACCTCAAAATCTCACTGGCTTAAAATAACGAAGGTTTATTTCTTATGATGTTCTATGTCAGTACATGGTTGGCAGGGAATTACTTCCCATCTAAGAGAGCTAAGACTGATGGAGACTGTCTTCTTTTAATTGCTGTTTAAGTACAGTTGTTTCTATTTTCCTCCAACCATTCCCATCCACCCCAGCAATCCCCACTTCCCACCCCTGATCTCACCCCCCTTTGTATTTGTCCATGTGTCCTTTATAGATGTTCTTGAAAACCCTCCCCCCTTTTTCACCCATTATCCCTTCCCCGCTCCTCTCTGGTTACTACCAGTTTGTTCTTCATTTCACTCTCTCTGGTTATATTTTGCTTGCTTGCTTGTTTTGTTGATTAGGTTCCACTTAGAGGTGAGGTCATATGGTATTTGTCTTTCACTGCCTGGCTTATTTCACTTAGCATAATGCTCTCCAGTTCTACCCATGCTGTTGTAAAGGGTAGGAGCTCTTTCTTTGTATCTTTTGCATAGTATTCCATTATATAAATGTACCACAGTTTTTGGATCCACTCATTTACTGATGGACACTTAGGATGCTTCCAGCACTTGGCTATTGTAAATCATGCTGCTATGAATATTGGGGAGCACAGGTTCTTTTGGATTGGGGTCTCAGGGTTCTTAGGGTATAATCCCAGCAGTAGATTTGTTGGGTCAAAAGGCAGTTCCGTTTTTAGTTTTCTGAGGAAATTCCATACTGTTTCCACAGTGCCTATACCAGTCTGCATTGTCACCAACAGAGCACTAGGGTTTCCTTTTTTCCACATCTTCTCCAACACTTGTTGTTCGTTGATTCTTTTATGATGGCCATTCTCAGTGGTGTAAAGTGGTATCTCATTGTGGTTTTAATTTGCATCTCTCTGATGGTAAGTGACAGTGAGCACCTTTTCATATGTCTCTGGGCCTTCTGCATGTCCTCTTTAGAAAAGTGTCTGTTGAAGTCCTTTGCCTATTTTTTAATTGGGTTGTTTGTCTTCCTGGAGTGGAGTCGTGTGAGTTCTCTATATATTTTGGAGATCAAACCCTTGTTCAAGGTATCCTTGGCAAATATGTTTTCCCATACAGTTGGTTCTCTTCATTTTAATGCTGTTTTCTTTAGCCATGTAGAAGTTTTTTATTTTGAGAAGATCCCATTTGTTTATTCTTTTCTTTATGTTCTAGAGGATGTATCAGTGAAAATATTGTTGTGTGGAATATCTGAGATTTTCCTCCTATGTTCTCCTCTAGGACTTTTATGGTGTCACAACTTATATTTAAGTCTTTTATCTACCTTGAATTTAAAGGTTTTATTTATTTTTTATAAAGGGGAAGGGAGGGAGAAAGAGAGGGAGAGTAACATCAATATGTAGTTGCCTCTTGAGCACCCCCACTGGGGACCTGGCCCTCAACCCAAGCATGTGCCCTGACTGGAAATGGAAGCAGTGACCTTTTGGTTGGCAGTCCCATGTTCAATCCACTGAGCCACACCAGCCATGGCTTATCCACTTTGAATTTATTTTTGTGTATGGTGTAAGCTGGTGATCCAGTTTCTTCTTTTTTTGCATGTAGCTGTCCAGATCACCCAACACCATTTGTTGAAGAGGCTATCTTTAGTCCATTTTATATTGCTGCCCCCTTTGTTGAATATTAATTTGACCATAGAGACTTGGGTTTATTTCTGGGCTCTGTATTCTGTTTCATTAACCTATATGTCTGTTCTTATGTCAGTACCAGGTTGTTTTGATTACAGTGGACTTATAATACAGTTTGATATCAGGTCTTGTGGTCCCTCCTACTTTGTTCTTCTTTCTCAAAATTGCTTTGGCTATTCAGGGTCCTTTATGGTTCCATATAAATTTTTTAAATGTTTTTTCTATATCTGTGAAATATGTTACGGGTATTTTAATAGGGATTGCATTGAACTGTAAATTGCTTTAAGTAGTATGGACATTTTGATGATGTTAATTCTTCCAATCCATGAACATGGTACATGCTTCCATTTGTTTGTGTCTTCTATAACTTCTTTCTTCAGTGTTGTATAGTTTTCTGAGTATAGGTCTTTTACCTCCTTGATTAGGTTTACTCCTAGGTACTTTATTTTTCTTGTTGCTATATCAAATGAGATATTTTTCCTGATTTCTTTTTCTGATATTTCATTGTTGGTATACAAAAATGCCTTTGATTTTTGAATACTGAATTTGTATCCCACTGTTTTGCCAAATTCACTTATTAGGTTGAGTGTTTTTTGATGGATTCTATAGGATTTCTACATACACTATCATGTCATCTGCAAACAATGACAGTTTTGCTTCTTCCTTTCCAATTTGGATGCCTTTTATTTCTTTTTCTTGATGCAGGCTCCATCTTAATATGAGCTTCCACAATCAACCTGGTAGAGGAAAGGAAACATGGCAAATTATGCTTTCAAAGTCTTCAGTTTAGTAATGACACACATAATCCCTACTTACATTCCACTGGCCAAAGCCAGTTTGTGGTCACAACCAAGTTTAGATAATAAGGGAGTGATTTCCAATATATACCAAGAGGAGTGGAATCAGAGTACCAGTGAACAGCTTAATAACAACCACAACCATGTTGCTGATCTTTTTCTGTAGAGAGCCATGTGCCTATCTCTGCCAGTTATATTCAAGATGTTAGCATATTCACATTTTAGGCATTATAGCCTAAAACAAGTTCACTTGGAATAGATTACAGATAGATGTGAGAGAACTTCCTTATCCTATGTGTCCTGTTATCAAACAAGGCCTTCATAGTAATCTTTTTCAGGTTCTTCAGGAGTAGAACACAGACCTATAATAATCCTTGTTTGCAGGAAAATAACAGTTGGATGTAAGCTAATATGTGGGTTTTCCCCTGGAGACCTTGCTCAGACTGAGCAAATATAACTATGTCCAAAAAATCATACTCTTAACCACTATGCGTTACCATTAAAAAACAGACTGCCCTGGCTAGTGTGGCTCATTGGACGAGTGCCAGTGTGTGAACCAAAGTGTTTGCCAGTTTGATTCCTTGTCTAGGGCACAGGCCTGGGGTGCATCCCAGGTCCCTGGTAGGGGGCATGTGAGACGGGACCACACATTGCTGTTTCTCTCTCTCCCTCTCCCCCTCTCTAAAAAATAAATAAAATCTTTTTTAAAAATATTATTTTTTCTTCTAAGCCTATAATTTCACTAATATAATAAAAAGTGAGTTTTCATTGTTTTAATAAGAATTATTTGAAGGCCTGCTTGAAAGATCCTAACTACAATACTATAAACTCTTTAGTAGCAATAAAATGCAAGTTTATGGGGAAAAATATCACATATATCTAAGCTTACTTTTATTTTAGATGGTCAACCACTACATGGCTCACTGTCTACAACCCACCTCTCTAGAATCATGTCACATAATATTCCAAGTAAACGAATATGTTCAAGGAATCATGAAGGTGTGGTAATTTAGAAAGCCATGAATATATGTCAATCTCACCTGGAAAGTACCTGCTTCACATTTTCAATTTATCTCCCAATTTATTAATTATTTAAATAATAGAGTGTTTTATTATTCTCACTCACTCATGAGGTATTACATAAAGCCTCACAGATGTGAGGAGAAATTAGAATTGTTAAGTAAATTAAGTTACTGTTAGTCTATATCAGTCAAGCTCTCAAACTGGCTTCCCATCCCCACATCCTTTAAAAACTCACCCAATTGCCATTAAAGAGTATGAGTTGCTCCTCTTTGTATCTCCTTTTACTAAATTTGGTTTCCTGATTTTTTTCACTCTTCATTCCTTGTTTCATTTCTTGGCCATCACTACAAACTTCTCAAGCTGGACATTTGGCTAACCCCTGACTTTCCTTCATAACTATAATTTGCTCCTACCCTAAAGATTACCTGCTTTCAAGTACACTGGGTATATATTATACAAAATGCCAATGGGTACAAGGTTTCATAATAGTCACACATTGGTTGACTGACATTCCTAACAGGTTTCACTTATCCCTCCTCATCATCAGCTAGAACCAAACATAAATATCTCAGAAATTACTTCTTGCCCAGAATTGAGTTCCATACCAATGGAAAGACACTGCTAAGGTCATTCAGTCTCATGCCTTCGTTTTTAATGGTGACTTTATGCTTTGTAGATTCTGTTTGCAAAGCTGCAGGATGAAAATGTGATCAAAATGCTAAATTTGCTGAATACCAAAATAGATAGCCAGACTTCCTCAAGAGAGATTTTTGGAGCTCTCCTCGCTCTTAGTTTTTAAAAAAAAAGTTCTTATCAAAGTATATATGACCTCCATGTTGCTACATTCAGTGAAAAGTTCAGTCCTCATCTTTCTTGACCTATCTGCATCATTTGACATATCTGATCATGCCCTCCTTTTTGAGACACCATACTTTTTGGTTTCCTCTGCTGGTTCCTCCTCATCTTTCTCATCTATGTTAGAGTGTTCTGGTGCTCTATCCTCAGGCCTCTTATTTTCCATATACTCACTCTGCAGGGGATGCTATCCAATCCCATGTCCTTCAAATCCATTCATAGGCTGACAACTCCTAAGTTTACATGTCTAACCTGAACATCCCTCTTGAGCTCTAAACTGGTAACATATTGCCTGATGTCTGCATTTGGATTTCTTATAGGCATTTAACTGAGCACATCCCAAACTGAACTCTTGATTTCTCTGTCCACTGGTATCCATCATGTTCACAGAACCTGCTTCTTCATAGTCTTCTCCATCTCAATAAATTATTAGTTCATTTTTCTTGTTCAGGCCTAAAACCCTGAAGACATTAGCAAGGAGGTCTCTAATGAGGTATAGAGCCAGGGGCAACTGAACCAGACTTGCTTAAGATAATCATAAATGAGACCTCATTGTTGGTGGTTCACAGATCCTCTGGGAAATCCTCCCAAACTATGTGGCACACCACTGCTGCCCCAATTGTTTTACCCAAAGGACCAGCCAAAAGCTTGACTCTTTCTCTTACAAGGTGCATGCAATTCTTTTAGCAAAGCTCATTGGTTCCACCTTTAAATTACATCGCAATCAATTCTTCCGGCCAAGATAGAGGTATAAGTAGATACACTGTTTCCCCTCACACAAACAAAAGAAGGACAACAGCAACTTTAAAATAATCAGTACTGACAGAAAACTGAACTGTATGGAAGTCCGACAACCAAGGAGTTAAAGAAGAAACATTCATCCAGACCTGTAGGAGGGGTGGAGTCGGGTGGCCTGGTGGGGAGGACTCGCAGCAAAGCAGAGGCTGGCAGACCCCAGGTGTGAAAGGTGGCAGATGATGGACCCAGCGATGCAGGGGATTGTGGAGGAGCTTGGCACACAAGGCGGTTGGCAGACCAGGTGGTCCCACATTCTCAGGCAGATAAACCAGGCAAAACTGGTGAGTAAGATAGACCATACAACTGAGGGCTCCGGCCTGGGGAAATAAACCCTCAAAACACCGACTGAAAATACCTGTGGGGGTTGAGGTTCTGGGAGAGACTCCCAGCCTCACAGGAGAGTTTGTTGGAGAGACTCACAGGGTCCTAGAACATACACAAACCCACCCACCTGGAAAGCAGTACCAGAAGAGCCCAATTTGCTTGGGGAAGCATGAGAAGTGACTGAAATCCGACACAGAGAGGAGCAAGCACCATTGTTCCCTCTCGAATCCTTTCCCCACATACTGCATCAAAACGTAGTAACTGGGTTGCCCCACCCAGGTGAACACCTGAGCCTCTGCCCCTCATACGTAACAGGTGTGTCAGGACAAAAAAATGGCCCAAAGGAAAGAACAGATCAAAGCTCCAGAAATAGTACAACTAAATGACAAAGAGATAGCCAACCTATCAGATGCACAGTAATCAGGATGCTCACAGAACTGGTTAAATTTGGTCACAAATTAGATGAACAAATGAAGGCTACACTAGGTGAAATAAAGAAAAATGTACAGGGAACCGATAGTGATGGGAAAGAAACTGGGACTCAACTCAATGGAGTGGACCAGAAAGAACAAAGAAACAACCAAACAGAAGAGAATGAAGAAACAAGAATTCAAAAAACAATGAGGAGAGGCTTAGGAACCTCCAGGACATATTTAAACACTCCAACACCCTAATTATAGGGGTACCAGAAGGAGAAGAGGAAGAGCAACAAGTGGAAATGTCATTTGAACAAATGATAAAGGAGAACTTCCTTAATCTGTCAAAGGAAATAGACTTCCAGGAAGTCCAGGAAGCTCAGAGAGTCCCAGAGAAGTTGGGTCCAAGCAGAAACACACCAAGGCACATCATAATTACATCAGCCAGGATCAAAATGAAGGAGAGAATCCTTTAAGCAGCAAGAGACAAGGAGGCAGTTACCTACAAAGCAGCAAGAGACAAGGAGGTGTTCCCACCAGACTGTCAGCTGATTTCTCAAAAGAGACCTTACAGGCAAGAAGGGGCTGGAAAGAAGTATTCCAAGTCATGAAATCCAAAGATCTACATCCAAGATTGCTCTATCCAGCAAAGCTTTCATTTAGAATGAAAGGGCAGATAAAGTGCTTCTCAGAAAAGGTCAAGTTAAAGGAGTTCATCATCACCAAGCCCTTATTATATGAAATGTTAAAGGGACTTATCTAAGAAAAAGAAGATAAAAAACATGTACAGTAAAATGACAGCAAACTCACAATTATTAACAACCACACCTAAAACAAAAACAAACTAAGCAAACTAAAACAGGAACAGAAACACAGAAATGGAGATCACATGGAGGATTAGCAACAGGGGAGTGGGAGGAGGAGAGAGGGGGAAAAGGTATAGAGAATAGTAGCATAGATGGTAGGTAGAAAATAAACAGGGGGAGAGCAAGAACAGTATGGGAAATGTAGAAGCTAAAAAACTTATAAGTATGACACATGGACATGAACTAAAGTGGGGGAATGTGGGTGGGAGAGGGTGTGCAGAGTGGAGGGGAGTGAAGGAGAGAAAACTGGACAACTGTAATAGCATAATCAATAAACTGTATTTTGAAAAATAAAATATAAAAATGTTTTTAAAATATAAATAAATAAATTACATGGCAATCCAATCACTCCTTACCACTTCTAAATACTATCTTAGTAGACAAGCATTCTCTGGTAAATCTCTCAAAAAACATGACTTTCCCTCCTCCATAGGAGGAGTCACTCCATTTCCTTAACCTACCTCACTTTTTCTAAATAGCATTTATTATCACTTGCCTCTTATACATTTATTTCTATTCTACCTTCTTTTACTAATATAAGCTCCATGAGGACAGAGACCTAGAACAGTGCCTGGCACACAATAAGTTTCTAATTCTACTGTCACTACTCCAATTCAGTTCTACTGATAATGCTCCTAAAACCCTGTTCTGATCATGT